TAATTTCAATTTCTCTTTATAGATCATAGAGTATCGATTCCTAGGCCTAACCTTTGTTAATGATTTTTGCTAAATTTCATGGTTTATTGATTGCATAATTTCACACATATTATATGTTTCTTTCTCAGCGATTCAGTATTGTGTTGAAGTCTTTTGGACACTAATGTTATAGTATTATTAACAACTATCTCAGAAATTTACTCATTAAATATCGTTGGTCCCTCGTAGAGTTAGTTCCACCCATTGGCAGCCTGCGCCACCTTGTGATTTCTTTACGTACTAGCTGTATAGGGACGTCTAGTCCTGTCAAGATACCTTCTTTTAAAATCTGATTTCCTATCAAGATATCTTCTTTGCCTATCAGGATACCTTCTTTTCCTATACCTTGTTTTAAAAGCTTGCATGTACAGACGTGTCCAGCGCCATTTTTTCTTTTCTTTCTGCTGAAGTTTGGTTGTGCGTGAGTCGCTTCGTTAGCTTCCAGATTCTGGGATTTAGATCCCGAAACACCAGATTATGGAGTACCATCTCTTATTTGGTACATTACCTTTAGTTGTTTTGGTTTGAGTGCTACCCCGTCCATTCTTTAATGGGACTTTAACGTTCAGCGGTAAGTTATTTTTTTATATACCATCGGATCACGTCCTTTAATGCATGTCCTGAAGAAGTTTGTTCAATACCTGCTTCCTTTTAGTGGGATGGCATTGCAGATAACCACCATTCACACTCCTCCAGCTTCGTTTTGTAACTGCCTTGTAGCTGTTTTGCACCACCCCTTCCACTTCAAGAAATATAATTTTAACTGAGTATTTTTCGAGTGTTTAAATGTGTAGTTCTGTCTCAGACAGAGAATAGAGAGTAGATTTTTAAGCAGTCTTTCTCTCTCTAGGGTTTTTTTTTAAACCGTAAGTTTTGGAAAACAATTCAAGTAGCCCCTACCTTGTGACGTTCCTCACGTCACTGCTCACTACTGGCCACTGGCTTTTGACCTGAGCGTTTGTGAGCTGAGAACATCTCAGCTGCGACTAGAACAATAACTGGAAGAAGACCATTATCCAGATAAGTTTAGGTTAAGGCGTTAAGATATTTGTAAAGTCTTCGTACGTGTACCATGGTGAACGTTATGCAGGGTGAATTATCACAGTCTAATAATTTTATTGTACGGCAGTTTATAATAATATTATTTCTGTTAGCTTCCACTCCAGTGATGGGAGCATATGCGCTGCTTATTTTGATAATACATTGTGATTCTTTTTTAAATATCTTGTTTTATTTGGCTCTCTGTGTACAATTAATTAGGTTTTGACATTACTGTGAGATTCTTTTCTTTTTTGTTGGTGGTCAGGCAAAACAATTACCGATTGACACCTCGGGGATTTGGGGCTTAATCCATCTTAAGTCACTGGCGCCTAAATTTGCACGCCACTAGACAGCTGTTTTGCATTGGCTGACCCTCAGATTTCATTTATAGTGTCCTATTAGTTCACTAATTACTTTAAAGGAAGAAAGAGGAATCACACCACCATCTCCTCTTGTTTATAAATAACCTTTTGATGTAATTGAGAACCTTTTCAGTGAAATTGCTGATTTTGAGTTCTTCCTGATCGTTTTCCACTCATGTTTCAACTACTGGGCTTGTAGATGAGGCCGAAGCGTCCATTAACTCTGTCCTCAATCAATGACTTCTTTTTGAGTACAGCAGCCTCAATAATTGGCATTCATAGCGAGTGCGCGTTGCGTTGGTTAGCGACTAGCTAGTATACAAGTTGACATTATGCCGATTTTTAATGACATTATATTTTTTTACATTATACCCCTACGGAAGATTTATATCCCACTGGGAGGAGTTTCGAGCCAGTCCAAGGAAATCAGAGGCAATTCAAGGAGAATCAAGGCAACCTGCATATGTACAGATGGAACTCTGTCCACAGTTTCTATTTCAACTTACGTTTTAGTAGATCTTGCGATTTTATCTGAGAAGATCTAAGAATGTCTGAGGAGAATAAAAAAAAATCCTGACATCTCTGATTCCAAAAAGTACAGCAGTTAGGTCGTCGAGGGAACTTCAAAGCATCCTTTCAAAAGCTTCACCCGTCCAAGTGGACCACCAGTGTAAATCCTCGTTTCGCCGCAGGAACTCCTCCCTCTTGCGTTTCCTTCTCTCGGCACTAAATCATAAAGTGGTGGCGTGGCGAGGTGATGTACAGAGAACTATAAATTAAACTCTTGTATTAATTAATTATCTTTAATTGTACAATTATGAATGTGTGAGTGGGTGATTCCGCCATTTTTAGCTACCATTATTTACGATGCCACGACCGATAAATCATCATATTTATTAAACGCGCTTTTCATATTTATTGCGTGTTCACACCGAGCAGTCGCTGCATGCAAATGCGCTGCAGTGCGAGTTTGCAGTTGTACTGCAGGCGCCAGTCTTAACGAACGGTCTAAAAGGTGGTTTAATTAGCCGTTGCTTGCCCATTGTTTTACGGTGTCAAAACGTGATTCCCAAGATACGTGCTTTCACATACGAGAATTCTTAGGTTGTCATAATGATTCCTTTTTCGGAATTATTAGTACTCGATGGATCCATCATAATTTTTGTTGTGGGACGAAGAAGCAGAAAAAGGAGAAAACCAGCAGCATAACTTAGATGTGGAAACATGCAGACTTTCTAAGATACTCTGGAAAAGCTGCCACCGATAGTACCGCCTCGATCAACTGATATTTGGCCCGGCACTGGGGAATCGGTGCTGATGTGTTCCTTAACGCGGATTATTGACACATCTTGAAAACTAAGTCCGCATGGTGGCAGCATAAGTACCAAAGGCTCTATTAGCTCGAATGCCTATCCATCATGGTGCAACGCAACGTTGCCTGACGATATATTTGTGCGGGCAAAAAAATATTCAGCATTTCTACATGTTACTCCTCAGGTAGAACCTTTGGTACTCAGCGAAGCCATAAGCATTGTTGTGGATAGTCAGAGATCGTGTTCAATCACTTGAATGAGAAGAAGTTGTATACTGGACGAAACAACTTCCGGAACAAGCATTTCCCAGGGACCCACTTACTAGAAGATATTATTGATGACTATAGTTTTTATAAGTTTTGTTAGATCCTGTCATCATACCTTATAGCGCTGAGTCAAATCGTGCGTTTTCTTTAAAACATAATCCAATCAATTCAGCCAAATCCAAAATTATATTATCTTGATCTGGTTCTAAACGTGATCGAATAGTTTATACGCTTCATGTCAAAATTGATACAGAGCACTTGAAATTAAGCGGTGGATGAGTCACAGATTCTTAGCATCACTCTGGATATTAATTTCACATTTAAATCATGTCGGTAGCATATTACAAAAGTCTCACTTCGCGTTCTATACGCTAATAGGCGTGTTTTGACATCTGCTATGGGAAAAAAATTGTCTGAAGCTCTTGTTCTATCAATCATCAATTCCTGTAATGTTATTTACCAGCCACGTTTGGACCAGCTTACTATAAGGCGTTTGCAAGTAGTCCAAAACCACTGTGTAAGATTCAGGGGTGGTGTCAGAAAGTATGGCCATGTTAGTATTGCATACAGCACGCTTGGCTGGATGAAGCTCGATACTTTGACGACTTTTCAATATGCAATCTTTCTCCACAAACTGCTTGAGACTTTGTATCATAAATATCTGAAAGAAACATTACTTTTCTCTACCTAAGTTTAAAATAGAACTTTACGATATATAATAAACATTACAGTTCGCCATCACTGCGCCTCCCTCTTCCAACGCTCTTTCTAGTATAATGCTGGAAATCTTTATTATAGTATTCCAGGTAACCATAAATCCATGACTGCCATATTTCTGTAAGCAAATCAAATCATACTTAATGAACTCCACCATATATTTATTCTCAAAAGAGTTTTTTTTGTTTTTCTGTGATTTACATAGACAATGTCTACTTTGATTTTAAGTTTTTAGAAGGACAAGTGGATGTTCAATTTGTATGTATGAATGTTAACACTTTCGTTGCTAGCTTTTTTTAGTTTTTTAGACTTTATAATTGGTGTGTCACTATATTTTTTTAAAAAAAAGGTCAGATGTCACGCAAGTGTGTCATCAGCAACTGGCAAAAAAATTAATGTCACTCGAGCGTAACATCAACAGTGATGATGTTAATGTAGGAAATTGTGACTGGAAACATTGTTTGTATACCTGTAACATGTTTACTAGACTATCAAACCAAGGTGATTTCTGTAACACACTTACGTGCGAAAATCAGACGCGTCTCTCAGGAAATATCACCAAGAGGGCCAATGGTGGCTACTTGGAACACCTGGTCTAGGGAATTTTGTTGTTGTTCAAGAAATAAGACGACCCACCATTTAGAATGCTGTTAAAACGAAACTAGCCAACAAAATGTTAGAAATTTTTACCAGATTGAAAATCGCATCAAATGTAAAACTTTTTCAAGGGATCCTATTTCCTTCTTGATTACTTCAAGGTGTCAAAGTAAGAAGTACAAGTCATTAGAATGTTGCATTAGAACCTGACTGAAAAAATGATATTCATACAAATGGCAACAATCTAGCTAAATAAGTGGCAATCTTTGCTATAAGAAACGATTGCTGTATAACCATGAGCCTGTGGAGTGAACACCCTGTATAAATTTAGTTCAGAAGATTTTGAATAAGTTTTCCTTAAGCAATTAAACGCTCTTTGCATTTTTACATATACCTACTATAATAATTATGTTTTTATCACTGAAGCTTCAGGGTAGTATTCCTAACACTCTGACAACGATCTGATAATAGTTACTCATGCGCTGATAATTGTTATAATTCTAATGCTAATGCAGATACCATGCAAATTGCAACAAGCAATCTATGTATTTTGTACCAGTATTTAAGTAGGCACTTGTAAAAGAACCCAAGCCATCATATTTACATACGTAGATATCTAAATTATATGTTTCGTCCGAACTAAAATAATATTTCTTTCTTTACAGATCCTCGCCCATAGATGGGAAACGGTCATAGCGGTAGTAGATAAGGTAATGTAAGGTAATAAAGACGTTAGCATAAAGATAACACCTTGTAATGGATGTATTTGAAGACATTAACAAGCTAAGTAAACTACTTGGGCATGCCTCTGTTTACATACAGAGCGACCCATTGACTTATGAATGACTCAATCTATGCATCAGAAACATTTTGGATGAATACGGAATTAATAAGAATAAATCTCGAAGAAATTATCTATATGAGAAAAATGCTCTGGGTAACTATTTTATTAAACGTCAAGGGGGAATCAGATTTTCGCTTATATTCGGAAAACTATGAAGTATTGTTATATATAGTCTACGGTTGTCGGGGATCAAAGGATCTTTAAGATGAGATATATGTTCAGTTATGAAGGTGTCACAGATGAAAATCTACTTAAAACAGGTCGGTAGCAATATACAGGGTTTGTCCGGAAAGTAATAGGACTCATTTTCTTCCGCCATTACTGTACTTCGGAGCGTGCGCACACCGACTGGATTCGGTAGAGGGCGTTCCTAGCTAACGAATGAGCGACTGGTTAGTTATCTCCCAGCACTTGCAGAGTCAGGACAGGCATCTTCGCGCGACTTGTTTCTGTGAGTGGTGCAAGCCGAAAATGCAGCGTTCGTTAGAGCAGAGGTACGCGATTAAATTCTGTGTGAAACTCGGTAAATCTGCGACAGAGACGTTTGCTATGATCAAGCCGGCTTACCCAGGTGTTGCTTTAGCAAGAAGTGGTCTGTTTTGGTGGCACCAGGCCTTTTTGAAGGGCCGGGAAGAGGTCGCTGATGAAGACCGTACTGGAAGACCTTCGACTTCGACAAACACCGATAATGTGACTCGTGTGCCCAATGTTTTGAACTCAGACCGTCGACTAAGTATTCGTTTAATTGCCAGGTGTTAAAGTTACCAAAATCTGTGGTTCATGACATTGTGACACAGCATTTGAACATGCGCAAGGTGTGCGCGAAGATGGTCCCAAAAGTGCTCACTGACGACTAGAAATTGGGGCGAGTGGAAGGGTGCCAAGAAAATTTAAACATGTGTGAAAGTGACCCCTAATTTTTGAATAATGTACTCACAGGTGACGAGTCGTGGATCTTTGAGCATCATCCCGAGACAAAGAGGCAATCTTCCGAGTGGCACACGACTGCGTCTCCTGGCCCAAAAAAAGGGGAAAATGAGCAAATCCAAAGTGAAAATGATGCTCGTAGTCTTTTTTTGACATCAAAGGCATCGTCCCCCGTGAATCTGTTCCTCCTGGACAAACTGTCAACGCCAAGTTTTACGTGGAAATGCTCAGGAGATTCAAACGAAGGGTCAGTCGGGTCCGACACGACATCGCAGCCGACTGGAAGTTGCACCACGACAACGCCCCGGCTCACACCGCCTTTCTTGTGAACAGCTACCTGACCAAGGCCGGCATCCCAACGCTTCCGCAGCCGCCCTACAGCCCAGATGTGCCCCCCCCCCCCGGACTTTTTTTTGTGTCCTCGCCTGAAAAGGCCGATGAAAGGTAAGCATTTTGAGACGACAGAGGGGATCCAAGCAGCATGCACCGCGGCTCTCAAGGCTATTCCAGAGAATACCTTCCGTGACGGCTTCAATGTTTGGAAATCGCGCGGGCAGCGCTGCATCGACGCAGAAGGGGCCTATTTTGAAAGTTTTTAAAGAACTGTAACGATTGGCTCAATAATTTTTTTTTAAATCGACTCAGTCCTATTACTTTCCGGACAAACCCTGTAGAAACATTTTACATAAATTGTTTTTAGTACCCATGTTGATGTCTTCTGACGTTACTGACAACCAAGCTTTTGATTGTCGGCTATTATATTTCCCATTATGCACTTTCCAGTGAAACATACACTTTGTAATTAGCAAATTTTTGTAGCAACAAATTAACTACTACAGCAAATTAAACGCTAACGGCTCATTCTGACAATCTCCCATTTCATACTTTCTCTAAACCAGTTTCACTACTATTTCACATTTTGTTTATTAACAAAGGGTGTTTCACATTCGACCCTCACCATAGGGATGTCAGAAAATGTCAGAGATACGTCACTTAATGGCGCCAAAGTTACCTGTTTAAGTGATCAGCAGCATACCGCTTAGAGATTTTCGAAATTCCCGGAGTGAGACGGAAAAAAAGCAAATTTGTAGTGGGATTTTAAAACACATTGCACATTCATTTGTGTAAAAATCCAATAATGTAAGGAAAAATAAAGTAAATGCTGGAGGACAAGAGACAACACGTCATATTGAAATACTAATTACGCCATCTTGTAGAGGAGAAAGACCGGCAATGTTAATGGACAATTTATTATCAAATCCCGCTACAAATAAAGTCAGAAAAAAAAATCAAAACGTTTTTGGGAAATTCAGCTTTTTTTTTATACTCCAACTACCACGAAGGCCTAAGGCCTAAGCACCCATTGGGTACCGTGGGGCTATAGGGGGATACATGGGAAAGGGGGAACGCCACACGGACTCTGGCGAGGGAACACGTGTGCATGCAACATGCACACATTCTGGCTCCGCCTACGAGATCCGCCGAGTGGTACCTCCGCGTTCGACAGTGAGAGACCGTCTACCACCTGCAGACAATCACAACATCCATAGCCAAGAGAAAAATTTCTTCTGGGACGGGACTCGACCCCGCACAGCGCACGGCGACTGATCAGGAGACCGAAGAGTCTACTACTGCGGCCACCGCTGCTGCTGCCTCACTCCGGAAGTAAATTGTTTTTTCTTACAATGACGTTTAATAAAAGTTATCCAGCAAATTGTTTTGCTATATTTTGACCTTTTGATTTAACCTCGAGAATAAATTGCCATACAATGTTTTTTCTGATATTCTAGACATCATGGTGTAGACATACTTGGTATTCAGGAGTGTTTGACTGGCGAATTAGTTACGTCAAGTGTCCTAATTAAATCTAGTCCTCTAGTCTGTTAACGATGTTCAAAAATTCTGTATCGATTGTAGTAATAATCTTGGGAAGCATCTGGATTTCTATCGCCCACATTCGATTTCACCACGTCAGTGCCGCAGCATTTAAAAAACTTCAAGCTCTAAACCGAAATTGAGCTGTGCTCCATTAATAATTCGATTTTATACCCTGTTAAGAGTTTACTAACTATGCAATGCATTTGCACGCGTGACCTCAAAAGAAAAAGAATAATCAATTATGTCCGGATCCATTATCAAATTCTAATGATTTGTCCCATGCATAGTCCACTGGCATCTGCAATATTGATTTACATTCGTCTTACAGTATTTTTCTTTTGAGATATAATTAGTTTAGGTATCATGGGTTCCGTATATTATCTTGAGATGATAATTATTTTCCTTTTGGACATTTTAGAAAAGGCATTACGTAGTTTGCAAAATAGTATTAGTAGTAATAGTATTTGCATCAGGATTGCATCAGGATTTTTATGCCTAAAAAGGTGAAAATCTTGGAAGGTTGAGTAAACTCATCAGTTTAGTTTCTGTGTACATATACGGAATTTATCGACAAGCAACAATTCAAACGATCATCGTTTAGATAGTTGACATTTTAAAATAGGAATAAACATATGGTCGACGTTGAGATTTGTAATGATACGTTAACACGCTCAGTAATGTTGTTTTAGATTAGAAAATATCCGAAGCATTTTTATTGGTATACTCAGTAGACGTAGTTCTTTAAGCTAGCGTAGATAGGTTGAATAATCAACCGTTCTAATATTGCATCTAGTTTCTTTTTTACTTTATACGCCAATTAGCAAGGAAGTGTTGGAGAACTTCTGCCCATTTTGAGAAAATGTTTTCGGAGGGTAAAACATTGAGGGTATGGGAGAGTATGATATATCTTATTTTTGTTGGTGCACATTAACATACGTGGATTCCTTGTACGTTTCCTCTTGAAGCTTGAATGACACAAAGGAGGATTCTCAAGTCATGCGTCGAACCCATGAAACGTACGGAGATAAATCTGTGGGGGGATTGGCCTCTGTCTGTATGGCCACTACTGTCGATATAGCAGGGAAGAAATTTCTAAATCGCAATGTTGCCATATGGGTGGGGACTAAAGAAAAAAATGTATAGATAATTATTCGCGCCTATTGGAAGTGTTTCACAAACCATAGATTTCCGCGTACATTTTGCCTTAAGCATCACTGCCACGCCGCCGAGACTGACGAATGGATTTATCGAGCAGTGAGTTATAGGGGGACGGGCCACGTTGCCAGACGGACAGTCATACCCGTAAGGAGCGAAAATATGTCTACACACTAACTATATCGGCCTGCTTGACTAACTTATCCAATCAATTTTCTTATTATACATATTCGCAGCTAACTTTTTTCTAAGAGCGGCTATCTTGTGCAGAACATAATGATTTGTGAACTGATGACAGAGTTGCTTGCAGCGTCAACCTGCTTGTCGCCATTTTCTAATATCGAGATGCCCAAATATTAAAGCTGCTGAAGATTAATTAATGATGAGCATTTTATGAATTTTTGAGTGGTTAAGATAAGCTGAATCGTGGAAAACTCTCGAATCCTCGATATCCGAAGAAAAAGATAAGAGTCAGTTCACCACATATACAAGGTGTTTCAACAGTAAGGTGACATACTTAAGGGGGTGATTCATGGATCCGTTTTAGGGCCTCTTCTACACGTTGGACAAATATACGCGATCATCAAGAACGTAGATTCTAGAGCTGGCAATAGGGCAAACGTACTAAAAAAATTAGAAAAATCTAATGGCCGGTTGACATGCGGCCAGATGGTGTGCTAGTCTATGTTTTCAGTCCTGTGAACTATTGATGCATGCATTTAATAATAGTAGCGCCTGCATTTTGTAAGTGACTGATGGGGTACAACTAAAGAGTAGTTACATCAGGAGACCTTGGTTTCTTATTCATTATAGTAGGGGAATCCACACCAACGTTCTGGTAACATCATCGCGTACTGATATGATGCGATAAAAACTGTTTAAGATTCGACAAGTTTGCTGTTTAGC